TTTTTTCCTTTTATCAGCTATCTAAAAGGCATTTATTCTTTTGGACTGATGGAAACAAAACGTTACGACGAGGCAGAAAAGGTTGCAAAAGAGGTACTGTAATTTAAAAAAAAATGTATTCCTCTATATAAAGTTCAGATAATCTTTTGCACCTACCCTGCACCATGAGAAAGTCATGCTTAAGAGCAACACTGTTAAGTTGTGAATGCTATGGTTCTAAGGGAAACAAAACTGTGGTATTTGGCAAGCAAGGACTTATGTCTTTATTATCCTTACTGTAAAATAGCAAGTTTTATTGAGTTGTAAGCTTTTCCCCCCTTTTTTATGTAGGGGCAAAGCAGGCAGATGTGTAAGAAAGCTCATTTCAGTGTAAAGAACGTCATCTTTATTTCAGTTTTGTAGCTGAAGCATTTTAAATACCTTTGAATAATAGCAAGGTTTTTTTTGTTGTCTTTAAAGTGGATTATGTGGGAAATGGAAAGTACTTTATTCAAATTAATTTCTGTTTACTAAAACCTATTCCATATGTTTTACTATTTATACCATAGATTATTCAGTTATCCCATAGTTACACTAAATAATAAAAAATCCAAACCCATCAATTTCAGTAGTAATCACTGAAATAAAATGATTGCATTATGATTGATTTGAATTTGGAAGTAATTGTAGTGGCACCAATTGTACCAAAATTTAAAAAGGAACACAGTTTACAGTGTGAAGAGAGGTATGTAATGGATAAAAGCACTCTACAGAGAGAAGGTAAACCTGCTTGAAAAGACTCCTCCTATTACCTCAGGGCCTGGCTCTGAATCCGGGGGACGGCTGGGCTGTGCACACTGTTGCCCACGTCCATGAGATGAAAGCTGAGGTGCAGAAAGGGCTGAAGTTCATGGAGCAACGAGAGAACTACTGGAAGGTGAAACATGAATAATATTTCCAAGTATGCCTTTGCAACTGTCAGTAGGTCAGACTGGGCTGCTTATACCCTCAGAAATGTGTGAATGTTCTGTTAATCAAACTTCATGGTTGTGTATAGATAATATAGTATATGCAATTGTATTAGTAGTAGTAAAAGCAGTGGTAGTAGTAATCCTTGCAGATATCTTGTCCCTTAACCTCCTATCACAATGCTAACAATGTACAGTAACCAAGAAATGGGCTGCAGTACATGTTGACCGGGAAGTTGTTTCATTTAAATTAAAATTCTTTATTCGAGAATAATGTAGTTTAAAGGGCTTGTTTTATATATAATTTCTGTATAACAAAGTTACGTTTACACATAAAGAGTAATGTAATAAAACGCAAATACGTATGCAAATATTTCTTCTGAATCAAACAAAAATAACTTAATTTTATTACAAAGTTAAATGGGAATTGTAACACTATTTTTATATCTCGCGGTTAGAAGGAATCGGCATTGATGAGAGCATTTAAAACCACAACAAAACTAAAATGTACACAGTAACTTGTAAAACCTCCAATTTACATCACAAAATAGATTAAATTCACAGGTATGCGCAGCGCCATATTCTGGGATTCAGAATGAGGTAACAAAACTAACGGTGATGTGAAGCGGCTTTATTACTTTGTAAACTAACAGGCTTGTGAATTCAGGACAGTTCTGCCTACAAATAGTACTTGTTAACATGCAGATCACATTGGAACATTTCTACTTTGAAATGTCTGCTGCACATTTTGTACTTATTCGCTCATACTGTATGTCACATTATATTAGTCTAACAGTGATTAGTGAACAGGAAGGGCTGTATCACATCACTCTTACTCTCATCTGTGGTGAGACCAGTGGTTTGTGACAACAATGGCGACCGTTCAATAGATCCACAAAGTTCACAATTTTGTGTCTAATTTGACACTTGTACATTTTTTCTATGTTGTCAATGAATTTATTTTGTTACAGAGATTTGATAACCGGTGAAGAATTTGGTACTGACATTCCCTATTAATATACGAGTTTTTGCTTTTTTAAAGTGTTTACATCTGATGTTCAAAAGGTGTGCAAGCATTCCTTAGATGTTCTGCACAAAACAGAAGTACTTAAACTGTTGATGGCATCTGTTAATATTCTTGCTGAAAACCCATTTTTATTCCCTTCAGGAATGTGATATGCTTGCTTGTCATAATTACTGGCACTGGGCCTTGTATTTCATTGAAAAGGTAAGATTTCCTGGATTTCTGGACTTCTTTCCAGCTTAACAATGTACATTACTTTGAAGACTAGCAGTATGGAAGTACACAGAAATAAAGGTTGGAGTTGCAAATTTGGATCTACAGCAGGGTATGTTACTGAAGTGGCGTCTCGAACCGAAGATGGTCCATTGCCTTGCTCACTAGCCTCCTCCATCACATCCTGTCTCTCCAGGCATCTACATCAATTTCTGCCTTGTCAGCATCTTCTTTCACTGAGTCAAGCCATCTTATTCTAGGTCTTCCTCATGGTCTCTTTCCCTCAATATTTTTTTCTACTACTTCTGTTATTAGGTCTTGATCTCTTCTCATTAAATGGCCATACCACCCTAGTCTTCTTCCTTTGACAGTAGCAACAATATCAGGGTCCTTATAAAGCTCTCTTAATTCTGTTTTTCCTTCTTCTCCATTCTCCATTTTCTTCAATGGTCTTAAAAATCTGTCTTAAGACACTGTTTTCAAAACTCATGAGTTTACTCTCCATTTTTTAGATCAGGGTTCAAAGCTCTGCACCAAACACTACTACTGGGTGGATTATTGTCTTGTATATCTTTTTTTGTTGTTGTTTGTGACAGCAGTTTTGACTTAATCATTTTCCCCATAGCAAATCTCGATCTATTTCCAGCCTGAATCTTTGCTGGAATTTCTTCCTCTTTACTATTTTCCTCTTGAACCACTCCTCCCAAATAGTTAGAAAATTAAGAAAGAAAGAGCCATAAGGAAAGTTGCAGAAATGGAAACAAGAATTAAGTCAGGCAGAAAGATCAATATTTTAGCCTATGCAGATCATGTAGTGCTCATAAGTCAAAGCAAAGAGGAATTGAGAGACATGACAAGGGTTTTAGTGAAGGAGGCCAAAGGAGTGGGTCTAGAGATCAATATTGATCAAACTAAATACCTCCCTGTAAGTAGATGAGGAAATACAGCAGGATAACATATATACATAATAACATATAGATCTTTTTCATGGAAAGAATGTTTACCATCAAGCATTGCTGTGTATGTCTAGCAATTTATATCTAATTGTTTGATCCAACGGTCAAGTTTTCTGTTCTCACAAGCTACAGAACATTTTTATATAACTAAAATTCTAAGTATATTCTTAAGAACTTGGGAGTATAGATTTTTGTAGTATCTGTTATAATAAACACAATATGACCAATACTACATATCTCGCTACTATACAGATCAAGGCATGTTGTGTTATTGTGCAAAGCTGAACTATCTTTGAATGGGGTGTATCAAATTCAGTATTGCTCAGTGTCACATGAGATAACCTGTGGTATCTCAAAACAAAGGCAACACAATAAACACTATACTGTACCTCATATCAGGGTAGAGCCAAACGTAAAATTGTTTTTTTTGTTAATCTATTGTGTTGCCCTGGTAAGTTTGATGAGCTATAGTTGCAGTTATCATTAATAAAATACTTAGGCAGAATGTTTTAAATTAAGAATCAATCAAACTTTTTCAAACTTTCAAAACAAAAATACTAAGGTTAACGCTTTCCACGCATGTAATAATATATTGGTATTTGTTCAAACTGAGTGCTGTCCATAATAGAGGAGCAATTAGCAGGCAAATATGTACTTTGATTCAGCTACTGTATATTAGCACTAATGCACTACCATTAGAACCCCAGCCTTGGAAATGGGAAGGTCTGAATCATAATGTCCATACATAGAATTTAATTCTGTACTGCAGAAAAGAAACTGTCTTTACCAACCCACTCAGGATATCCAACAGCACAGTTTCTTAATCTGTACCAAATTATTTTTATGTTTTATTACCTGACGATGGCTCAGCAATTAAAGATGAAGTCACCTTTGTTTCATTGCCATATTCAGTTAATGTTTATCTTCTTATGCAGGGAGAATATGAAGATGCTCTGACAATATATGATAACCATGTAAGTTTTCTACAGCTGTACTTTATTTTTGTCACTGAGAGAGAACAAAAGGGCATGGTGGAAAAGTTCTAAGAGAACCTCCATTGTGCCAGATGGATGCAATTTATTAATTAACATTCACAAATTAAAGCAGCATTCAAAAGAGATGTGGACCGCTTAAGGTTTTTGAAAACACAAATGTTGTGCTGTGATCTGATTTTAACTGTGTATACAATATATTGCAATTTTTCTTCATATCACATTTATTTTAAATACTATTTCCACATTCTCTGGTGGTGCCTGTCTTTTTTTGGATGCGAAGGTGTTATGTTAAGTGTGATTTTGCTGTATGATTTCTAATGGACGTTTCCATTCAAACTCTGCATGAAATACAATGAAATCTTGTCAGCACTGTTTGTTATTCTGAAAAGTACCTAGCAATTACTAGAGAATGTACACGGATGTTCAAGAAATGAAAGATTGTTTTATCATATTTACAGAGATTCCTGGGAACAGTGAATCTAGTATATATGTCCTGTCTGCATCAGCTGTCTTTCAGAATGGTACACTATGCAATATAGAGTGATTGATGTGAAATATCTTTTCAAATTATTTTAAACCAAAAAGAGTTCACAATCTTTTACATTATTCTTCAACCTTTAAAATGTAGCTTATTTCTAATAAATGTTACAAATTGTAAGTCCTTTAACCTGCACCTATGATAAAGGACATTTAAAACTGTTTTGCCATTACCAGGAGTGAAATCACTTTAATACAGTGGTAGCAAAAGTAAGCCAAGGTAACTCTAATAAAGTGATGTAAATGCTCTCTTGCTACAGATTGCTCGGCGATGCTTGTCTTCGGGAGCAATGCTTGATACAGTGGACTCATGTTCAATGCTTTACAGGCTCCAAATGGAGGGTAATAGTTTGGAACCTTTTCTTGTGTGAAATGAATTGGATGTGGGAGCTGCATTTGACCTAAAATTTTTCCCGAGTTGGGGAGAGTAACACAATACAACATCAAGCACTTCTACACACGGCCACTACTTAATTAGGCTAAAAGTAACCACAGGCAGAATAGTTGTGCTAGTTGATATTCTGAATTTTAGAAGGGAGATTTCCTCTGTCTCTATCAGGAGTGGAGTTTGTAGAAAGTGGTTCTGAAATGTAAAAGAGCACAGTAGTATCAGATACAGCCAGAGCAAGCTGCATGTTGTTCTGTGTCTTTTTCGATATGACCTGTTTTTTTTTCAATAGATATCAATAGTCAATAAATACAGTTGGCCCATATTCGCAAAACTTTTACATCATGTGAAGACAAGCACCCTAAAAAGCAGGAAGAAACTCCTTAAATTACAAAAGTAAAAATAAGCATTTAAATTAAGCAACCTATATATATATATTGAATAATTTAACATCTTTGTATTATTTCCTCCCCCCATAAAACAAGTAAGTAGTAGGTTAATATGGCATTAAACATAGTGGGTGGGAGTGTTTTCCTGTTATCCTTTCTTTTGTTTTTGTAATGAAAACTAATAAAAAATGAAAGTATGTTTTACTGTGAATGTGCTAAGTTCTAGAAATAGAGTACATTCTCAATATGTACAAGAAGCTATTCCACAGATAATTCTTTGTGTTAAACGAATTTAGTAATTTTCTTTAATATTATTCTGTGACTTTTTCACCCCATATGAATTTGGAACAAATTACAAAACGTCTTCGCCTACAGAAAGTATGTTAAAACAGCCCTTTGGGCATTCAGTATCTACTGCATTTATATTGTTCTAAATCTGCTCTAGAGAGGCTCAGAAAAGTCACAGGACTTGTGTTTCTAGGTGTGATGGTGGGAGACAGGTGGAAGGAACTTCTGAACATCACCAGGCCTCATAGCGAGGATCACGTGCTGCAGTTCAATGACCTCCACTTCCTCATGACGTCTCTGGGAGCTAAAGACGAGTCGACAACTCGTCGTCTGGTGGAATCCTTACGGGAACTTGCAAAGTAAGCATTTTTCTGTATCGATATGTCTACATTTATACCTGTATATGTACACTACGCATATGTGACATTATGCAAAGGAGTGCACCCCAAAATCTAAACCTTGCTCGTACTGTATCTTGGTAGTGGTGTACAGTGTGCAGTCACAGCATGTTTTTTTTTCATTTTTGTCTATCTGCTTATGAAAACTAAGTCTGTTTATGTATTCTGAACTTTACAGTAAAAGAGAGAAGAATTTTCTAGTTAACTGGTTATTAACCTTGTCACTGTTCTCATCGCAAAGTCAAACTCTTGAGGTATTATGACAAGAGCAATCGTAATACATTTGGATTATTTTAATATTGAAAAGTGTAAGGTTTCAGAATAAACCCTGCACCTTAAGATACATTTTTCAGTGGGTCTCCTCTTGATATCAAATGATGGAACAAATTTATGACTCCAGCCATGATGACCTTTGTTACCATTTGAAAAATAAAGTGCTTGTAATATGAGCAAGATTCCACATAAGACAATTCTCATAACATAAGTAAGAAACATTACTGTAATATTTTTCAATTTGTATGAATTTGTATGCCCTGAAGAAATGCACTGGATGGCCTAAAGTTAACTTTTCAAAAGTCAAAATGTATGTACTCTGTAATGATTGCATTCACATTTTGTGGAAACAGTGTTTTGTAGTGATCTAAAAAAGTGGTTTCTGTCCTGCAAATAGTCTGCATCATCCATCATTTCAATGAAGCCTCTCTGAATAGCTCCCTGAACGTCAGCCTTCATTAAACGCCTGACAGTAACAGTAATATGTTATGACATAAAGAGGCTTCAGATATCACATCGCATTGGGAAAATGGTTTAAATGGATTGTTAAACAGGTTTTATGCATTTTTAGTCCTTCATTGTTTAATGTTAATTTAAATGAACTCTATGCAAAATGATTTCGATTTAGATTATAAATTCCTTTTATAAATTACTGGAATACAATTTGCCCTGGACTGAAATTAATTACTGGCAGCTGGTATAAAAATGGGAGAATAGAATTATAATTATGGAATACTCAACAAGTTTAGCAAAGAAACTGTCTAACTTACTATAATTATTTTTAAAAATTCAGAAAGCATTCAATTTATAGTTGCATTTTGTGTGGATGGTTTAAACTTCATATAGTTGCTTTCTGGGATTTGGCTTTTTGAATGAAATGTAATTGTTGGACAGGGCTGAACCTTGAATGAGCAAAATCAAAACATAACTGTGAAGAAAAATAAATATCTCTTGGTGATATTAAACACAGTTTTTGAAAAAAACACAATGACATTGCTGTTCTTCTTAAATAGGCGAAGAGCAAACTGAGGATAATCACCCACCAGACCCACAGTACTAGTTCAGTCATTGATGCATTTGTGGTCACGCTTTCCTCTTCTGTCTAGATCTCCTGGAGAAAACTACCAGCACCAGATGGCTCAGGACATGGGTCTGCCCATGTGTGAGGCTCTCGTTGAGTTTGACAAAGGAAACTATAGCCGAGCAGTGGAGCTATTGCTTCCTATTCGATACTCCTTTGACAAGATAGGAGGAAGTGATGCGCAGGTAATTCAATAAAAAATAAAATGTCAGGATTTTCTTGCATGCACTGCAGGCAGACCTCATGTTTGAACTCACTCTGTGTACCTTTCAGTATACAGAGTGAAAAAGAGTTACTGCAGGGTTTATACACCTGCCATCTTTGCTCACAGCAGTAACACTTGAACAGCAGTTAGAACTGCAGGTGAACTAGACCTCGCAGTAGTTTTTATGCTGGAATGTTTTGCATATATTAAATAATGTTAATGCAATGAAATAGCATTTCGACTAGGTTGGCAGAAATGACTAATGAGGTGTTTAATATGCAAATAGTATTCGGTAAAGATAATTTCACTGAATGTGTTTTAATATTGGTGATTATAAAAAGCAGACTGTAGGGAGGGCAGTCTGGGACTGGAATTGGAAAGGAGAGAGAGATGATATGATGTGCAGACTAACAAAGAGAAGCAACAGGAAGAGAATGCATGGTTGTGCGTCCTAGAATAGCTATCCAGCGGTGATTTTCAATCTTGATCATTTTTAACATTTATATGAAGTTTCTTTTGCCAAAGTTTTTAATTAGTTTTTGCATGCTGCGGTTCGTTTTAGCCATGTTTTTGAATACTTCAAAGTCGCATCTAAAATTATATCTACAGTATATAGAATTATTTACATTCAAGGAGCTGGTAAGCATGGACATCATTTTGTGTTTTTTTCTTTCTTTAAAACATTTTTATTTGCTACTGGGCATTAACCTCTCCAGCTGCCTTTGACACGTGACATCACACAGACCAGGAGGATCACTCCTGTGGAATGAACCTTATACTTCACCTTTTTCTTCCACCATCTCTGATAAATTACTAGACACACGTCTTATCTATGAGAGTAACTGGGCCCCTCTGACACTGACTCAGAGCTCAATCCACATTCCGTCAGTGAGGTGGCACTGCATAGTTTGTTTTCCTGGATTATAAACTATATGAATTTCTTAAGTCTCACAATTTTACTGGACAACAATACATTACAGATCATTCTCCAGCCAGCTGCTGGCCACAATTTATTGCATCATTCATTTTCAAAATAGAAATAAGGTAAGTACAAGAGAGTACTGTCTTTCATAATACATTAGTACAGCCCAATTGTTCTCAGAATTTCTGAAATTGGCCAATACATAAACCACAATGATAACAATTCAGCATTCGGGACTCTTCAGTAGCTGCCTGTGTCAGGTGAAGTAGGAAAGCTTTGAGGTGTATGTCCATGTCTCTGTGTATAGATGCAGCTCAGGTTATAAATTTCAATTTTAGGTATACTGCTAGAAAAGTATATCATAAAACCACTTCACCCTGACATCTAGTTATCTTGGAATATAAACAGAATATATTATCTTGGTGACTGACCTGACTCCTTTCAATATTTAGGGATGCTCGCATTCTCTACCAGTTCTGCAAACCCATTTTTAATTTGTGAAAAAGTCCATTCAGCATGTTCTGAGAGAGCAATATATTAGAGAACTCTGTAAAAAGACAAACATGCTTATTAATACCTCACCGAGGTTGCTGAATGGTTCTCACTTAACAACAACTCTTTTTTGTAGCGAGATGTCTTCTGTCAACTGCTAATTCATGCAGCAATGAAATCAGAGAATAAAAGGCATCAGAAACTCGCCAGGTCAGTGCAAAACCATTTACATTATATGACATTTAAATTTAAAAAAATGTTTTAAAATATTTGCAAATATGATTTGAACAAATGCATATTTTGAACACTGTATTGCTATAGTTTGATTTATGATGAATATATCCAGAAGAACAAAAAAAAACACTTCGAAACACCCTATGTCAGAATGCATTGAGCACTTTAAACCACGAATTAATACTCAATAAAAAAAGTGACTCTGTCTTTTCAGTCTGGCATATGCGGGGTTACTTAATAGTGAGATTGAACTACCATTCGCAGTATATAGAAAAGACAGTTCTAACTTGTGACTTTGATTGATGTGCTAGCTCAGAAAGCTGTTTTGTATAAATAAACTATTCAATTAAAACAGCAAATTCCTAGTGTATTATTTTGGTGCAATCCTGGAAATACATTACAGAGGAAAGGATTAGTCTTTATTAAATCATGTCTCAACAACGTTCTGTTATGTAAACTGCCGATACTGTATTACTAATGTATTACTAAACTCCTCACAAAATTATTCAGATAGGCAACCAGAATAACTGATTTCCCAAAAATAGTTATCACACAGTATATATTCTGTCCCAACGTAATGCAACGTAATTGCATACTGTATAAATGTTTTCAGTCTTTAACAGGGTGAGCTCTTTATTATTAAAAGCAGTCACCACAATCGCACGAAAGCAAGTCCCTTTCTATGGCAGATATTTGGTTTTAGCAAGTCATTGTGATACAGCACATCAAGACCCAGAGTTGTCCCTTCATCATAAAAAGTGTTGCATGCCATTGGTCTTTAATTTGGGCTTTAAGTAGTAATGGGGGTGATATCTTTTCATTTTTAGGTGCCTGCTCATGGAACGAGATGCTTCAAGGCCTAACTCCCCTCTAACAGACAGACTGATTAAGAAAGCCATGACTGTGCATAATTTAGATTAACTTGACTGAAAAGGCTACTTAATGTTTTGTAACTGTAAGACCAATTATATCAAATCCAGCGACCCTGTCAGCAGGTTAAAAGTTCATACTACATCAGTAGTATAGTGTCGCTAATCATGCTGAATACTTTAAACTGTACAGGATAATTTCCCAGTATTAAATTTGTTTAACCAGCTTTTCAATTTATTTTTTTACCTAACCATCCTTTATACCAAATCATTAAATTGTGATGTTTTATTCATAATAAAAATGCTAAATAACATGTTTGAATAGAAGTGTTTTAGCATTGAGTGTATCATACCACTGAATAACTGCACAAGAATGTTTAAGTGACAAGCAGAAGGCTAAAAATTCTCCTCGGGGACTTATAGCACAGATTTGGCAGCAAATGTCCTGTCAATCAAAGAAAGAAACAGCACTTTCTTTTCAGGAATATCTGTTCTCAGAAAAAGAGGAAAAAATATCAGTGAACTTTAAAAATATGTATAAAGTTAATACATTTCTGTACAATATAACAAACCACCAGAGATGGTAATTGGTTTATAATATGTGGTAGCAACAACAGTGCACAAGCAAACATTAGAGCATTACAATAGACAATATTAATCAACATAAACCAAGAATAGGTATGACTAAGATGCAAATCACATAGAAATAATGTAACAGCACTTCAGAGCAGGTGAATTGCTAATTCCTAATGTGCACATTCAATGCAACATCTTTTGGTATTTAATTTAGCTGAACATTTAAAGAGAAATAACTTAGCAGTAACTGTCCCAGTGATAAAAATGTCCAGTTTAGTAACATGTTGTTCCCTTATGGAGCCATCACTGATTGTGCTTACAAAACGTAACCGATCTCGTCCTGAATTTGGGATATTAGGATCTGTGAGAGAACAATTCCTGCAATCTGAAGACAAAAAAAATCAAGAAACGGACAACAACATTGCAGGCAGCTAGTAAATCCAGACTGGAATGTGCTGACATTTAAACTGCGCAGTGTGCATTAAATTTTAACTTTCTCATCAGTTTCATTTGTGCTGCAGGATGGATTGCTGTATGTAGTGTATTGAACCACTGAATGGATGTGTAACTAATGTGAAAAAAAATATATAGTGCAAAAATACAAAAATAAAACACTTGCTTTGGAATTATCCGAATTATAGTGCTTATTCAAGGTTTTACAAATACATAAAATAAGTATTGTAAGAGGACCTAAGAAATCTTGTTTAAACTCATGAAAGAACATCTGCAGATTAGGCTCACTGACTTTAAAGAGATGGTGATAAATAAAAAAATTAGTGGATAAATCCACTGCTCTCCATGTGGATCTGAAGATCTGGAGGAGAATCAATGAGCAATCAAAAAAGCAGTATGAGAATGAGAAAGTAACAGTATTTGAAAACAAGCATTCATGGCAAAAAGCCTTCGAAGATGACCAAGATGAGAAATCTCAAATCACCGCTACAGAACATTGTTCTCAATGTAACAAATTAATGTAGCAAATGAATTAGAGCTGGACCATATCAGTAAGACGTGGAATGTAATAAGTCGTCGTACCTGTGGAAGAGCCAGGCCCATTGCCAGAGCTCCAACCAGGAGAAGATGGGATTCTATCCACACAACAGCTCTGTCTGCACATCCTGCTGGGTAGATAGACTTGGAAGCTTCTGGGAAGTTTTGACTTTGTACTCCAAATCCACACATTGTGTTAATGACAGCCTAGAGGCAAGGAATTCAGAACAGTTGAAATGGAGAGAAAGTCATGTTTCAAGACCCCATTTGGTTCAGTATGAACATGTGACAGTATCCAGAAGTGTAGAAGATAGTGATTTCAGACATCTAAACAATTCATAAATAACTAGTGTTGTAGATTTTTAGAGAATACATGCACATATCCAAAAATGTGTCCTTCTGTTTTAAATATGTTTATCCATCCACCCATTTTCTAACCGCTTCCTCTAGTTCAGGGTCACAGGGGAGCCGGAGCCTAGCTTGGCAACCCAACAAATGCCAGTCAATCACAGGGCAGACATAAACATACAAGCACAGATACCACATTTTCCTAGAAGCCAATTAACCTACCCTTATGTGTTTGGGCTGTAGGAGGAAACCAGAGCCCTCAGGGAAACCCATGTGACCATGAGGGGAAGATACACCCTCTATACAGATAGCACCCCAGGTCTAGACTCCAAATCAGGGGTAGCAATGCTACCCACTGCACCACCCAATATATTCCTCATAGTATAATAACTGGCTAAATACAGCTAAATGTATACAATTATAAATAACATAGGAAACATTGTAAATTTTTATTACTTTCACTTGAACCTTGTTAACAGTCAACCAGGTAAAATTAATAATAATAATAATAATAATAATAATAATAATAATAATAATAAAGTGCCTTTACAGGTAATGGGCACTCCCCTCCACCACCACCAATGTGCAGCCCCACCTAGATGATGCAACAGCAGCCATAGTGTGCCAGAACGCTCACCACACATCAGCTATCAGTGGGGAGGAGAGCAGAGTAATGAAGCCAGTTCATAGATGGGGATTATTAGGAGGCCATGATTGGTAAAGGCCAATGTGAAATTTGGCCAGGACGCTGGGGTTACACCCTGACTCTTTTTGAGAAATGCCATAGGATTTTTAATGACCACAGAGAGTCAGGACCTCGGTTTTACATCTTATCTGAAGGACGGTGCCTGTTTACAGTATAGTGTACCCGTCACTATACTGAGGCATTAGGACCCAAATGGACCGCGGGGTGAGCGCCCCCTGCTGGCCCCACTAATACCTCTTCCAGCAGCAACCTTAGTTTTTCCTAGGAGGTCTCCCATCCAGGTACTGACCAGGCTCACAGCAAATTAAATTAATCTTCTAGTGCATCCAGACCCTTGAAAAAAGCTAGAGTATCAGCTTGAAGGTATGGCTAACAATCGGCTGACTAACTTGTTCCAGACTCCCTCAGCTGTGTGTATAAAGGCAGTGTCTTCTCTTATCAGTCTCCGGTCTCCAGTTTTCCCTTAGGTTGCACTTGTATCCCTTGGTTTATGTTTCAGTGTTGTGTATAATTTAATAATTGGTCTCTTTATCTTAAAGTCTGAAATAATTTTGAAATGTGTTGTGAAATTGATCCAGTTTGATATTGAAATGAAATTACACATTTATTTGAAATAAATGTTTACTATACACTACGTTCAGTTTGATGTTGGAGTACTATTATTTTAATATTGTAAATACACAATGATATCTATTAATTTAATTTTAATTATTTTAGTTTTAATGTAAGTAATTCTAGTAGTCTAAAGAACTATGTTGCATTGTGTTACTTTTGAGTGCCTTGCTTACTGAATATGCAGAAATCTGAGAAAATAACTTTAGTATGTCACAACACACTGAAAGCATTAGTTACAAAAATAAATTACCCCTTTTCATATTTCTTGACATTGCTTTCATGTTTGCTGACAGCAGAGATTCACAAAGCACTCCTAGAGTGAAACGTCCTAGATTATATTGTACAATGTGAATTATAAACTTGTCATCTTCTAGCAAGAATTATACATATTTCTCAACAAACTGGGGTAATAGTAGTAATATTCTAAAGGAGAAATGCCTAAAAGGAAAGACTGTTTCAGTACATTCAATTATTTTATCACTTCATAAAAAAGATTAGAGTGATTTACTGTGCTACAGTAATGAAAATACATTTCTTCGGGATACAAAACTTGGCTTCATCAACTGCAGTGCAGTAACAGCCCATCAACAGCAGATAGCAGCAACTGCTAAGTCCAAGTCTACTTTTGATCTCAGACATTGAATCAGTTGATGGAAAACTCTACAAAGCCATGGCGCTGAAGATCCTCAGATGTGCAGTTGCTAAACAGAACTGCCAGATCATCCTTGAAGTCAGTCAGCCATCTTAGAGAACATAATGAAAATGAATTGGATTACAGTGTATGTCAATCCGATCGTGAAGAGGAGAGGATTTGGACTGACAATCTGACATCTGACGATGCTTTGTTCAGAGGCAGCCCTGAATCTTTTTTATGACAGACTCGACTCCCTCTTATTTTTCTGCAGCTACCTGTCTCCATGAAGCTAACCCAACTGGTACGCCCTGTGCTTGCAGAGGATTTTCATCCTTTGGCCGGGTCTAGGAGTGAGCGAGAATAGGGTGTCCTGTTGAGCCTTACTTCTCCGGGCACGGGGGTGCAGCAGGAGTATGGAACCCCACACCGCTCTCTGCTGGGGTTCTCCTGGGTGCAGTTAAAGTACACGTTCCGTGACCAGTCCGTGTAGTTGTTCCAGCCGCAGCACCTAAACTAATGAGACGGGAACAGTGTTTAACAGGGAGATGCATGAAACCTGCCTGACATTCACGTTGCTAAGTTCACAGCATCATGGTTATCCCACATCTTGCCTTTACTGGCAACGATACAACAATGGATTCTTAAAAAATGAGCTGAGAGACCATTATCTTCAACCTTTTCACCTGGTATGTCCTCTGGGGCTACTTAAGCACATGGAAATGTCAGTGAGACCGTAAGAAATCAGTTGGTTTGGCATCATGTATTTTAGTCCCATATGTACTTCTGTTCTTTAAAAAGAAAATTGTGATTCATTCCACAGGAGGAAAATAAATGCTCATCCAAATTAAATTTGGCATGTTTGTGTGAAGACCAAGATCATACCTGCTTGAAAATGTCATGATAAGTTGCATTCTGTTTGTGTTCTAAAGTCACATTGTTATAACACAAGTTAAAGGGAAAATGAGTAGCTTCCTTGCCACCTATCGCAATAGAATGTGGGGATGACAATTCTTGACAGGTTGTTTATTTCAGGATTTTTTTTTTCCAAAACTCCTTTCATTTAGTCTTAGGAATAAATATAGTTACTTCCTGAAATGTCTTTTCATTTAATCCTTCAATAAATTATGAAAACTTCCTGTTTTTTTTTCAGTCATCTAAACTCTACAGTACAACGTACTCTGGATCAAATTGCCAAATCAAGGTTATATGATCATGTTATGTGGAAGGAGGTTGCTTTACAACCCCGAAACGAAGAGATCCACATTATCCAACTATCATCATTGTGCTATACATTTACGTTCAAGGTATACAGTACATTACATGGCTGTTCACTGAAGGGTGAATTTATCTATTTGTCAGTGTGACAATTTGAGTTTTCCATTCAGACAGTCCAGTTCTTTAACTACCGTGAAATGCTATTATCAAGATCTAAGGACAGTATCAGTAACTGTTCTTACAGCAAGCTTATGTACCTTCAATTGTGAGGCAGCAATGCTTACCACTGCGTCACATTTCAGCGTGATACTCTCATATATCCTTGTAAATTTGAAGGTACAGTATATTTTCAAAGCAAGTAGATATAATAGATCATGATAGACTCTGTGTTGTCTGAAACAGATGAAATAACAATAGATTACTGTTTGTAAAGACACTGCATTACCTCTTTCTGTATGTAGTCAACCAGGTTCTGTAGGTCAATGTCATCTCTGTAGTGCACTATAGCCTTTTTCACAAATTTCCCAAGAGCATCCCGGGCCTGGGTTTGCAAAAATGGCATTTAAAAACTCAGATCCAAAAAAGCATTCTAGCTCCCCCCATCCCTACAAAAAAGAGCATTAGGTGTAGCATTGTGGGCACAGAGTCAAATCTAGACTGCCATGGAACAGACTTCAGTTTCTCACTTTCCAGTGTACTTCACACATACTGTGAACAGTGCAATAATAAATGCTTGGATATGGTAATTAATACAGGTTTCCTAGTGATCTGCTGTTTCCTCATACACTGCAACATTTCAGCCTGTACCTTTGAGAGTCATTAGCAAAAAGTTAATAAAGAGGATCTAGTGAAAAGAAACAGTTGATTAGGAATGGCCTAATTCAACTTTTGAAGTGAAAAGACTGTTAAATGATTTAGTGAAAAGATGTGAAGGAAGAAGGCAGCAAGACTTTAACTGCCTTTTTTGTCAGACGCTTGCGGCATAACTACCTGATCAGAGTAGAAAAATCCCAGCACAGCAATCGCCAGTTGAGTCAGAAAAACCAGAGTTAAACTCAGGGAGAACTGTGAAGATAAATAATCTGTTCATTACATACAATTGTAAATGTACAGGGAGTTGAATTATACTTGTATTCAAAAGTCATGCACAAGATTAAAAAGCACTGCTGTGTCACTGCTTGAAAAACAACGGGATCAGTTTTTACTTCCTGCTGTGCTTTTCTCACATTTTTGTTTTGCCTTGAAACATTAGTACAACCCATACCGTACCATCACATTCTTAGGCCTGAAGCAGAAGAATATGAAGTGAAACACACATACGGATTTTATTTCCAGCTTTTCCAAGTCATTGAATTAAAATCCTAACATTTTTTTTATTTATAGCAACTTACAACAACAGTGGGTTTAGAGTACAAGTTCTTGATATATAGCCTAAACCAGTGTTATTTCAAAGATTTATGATAAAACAAAGTTAGGAAATACTGGCAATATTTTATTAATGTTTGCAGAAAAGTACCAAAACCTGGCAATACAACAGCATTGTGAATTCATATTTTTTGCCAGTAAGCAACAAGGCTGATTAATGTTCTTCATAGTAAGTATGGCAAGAAAAATTGAAACAAAGGGCTGACGTTAGGCACTCACAGTTTTCAGGAGTTTAATGTTCTCTCGCAAAGCTCCAATACATCCACAGAACGTGATGAAAAACATAACTACTCCCACCACAATCAGAATGACAGCGGGGTCAATCAGAAATGTGTCTCGAACGGTGTCTGGGAAATGGACACAATGAAACACTGCTGAGAAAGGCGCTTGTTCTTAAACAGACCCCTTTGACAAAATTGACTTTTTTTTGTACGGGCTTAGGCATCTGAGCTCTCTTGGAATCAGCTCCTTAGAGGTCACATTAAAGATAACATCAGAAGCAATGCTTTGAAAATGTAAAAATTAAGTCTTTAACGGAGCCCCAGTGACTACTCATACGCCGGAGGTCTGATTTTCTAAAGCTGCTTAGGGCTATATTTTAGAGAAAGGCAATCACAATTCAAAATTAAATTAAATTTGTCAAATAAATCAGGTCTAACTAGTATAAATTGGGAAACAAACTTACTGTATATACAGTATAGATTATTGTAAAAGAAAGGTATTATGAAATACAGTAAAATATGGCCTTTCACTCAAACTAGATTAATTCATTAGTAAACATTTCATATTTTAACCCGAACACATGTAAAAACTAAAGGAATACACATGACTTCAGTGGCTGAACAAGTGAAAGTTGAAAAAGCTACAAAGCTTCTGATGTGTTTCTTCTTTTTACTTTTCAGAATGGAATTAACCTTTACTAATTGCTTTGTAGCCAATATGCTGATGAACTCAAACTATTTCAGTTACTGGTTGATCTACATTCACATTTTATATATATCAGTTGTTATATCAGTCCCCAAAAACCATGCTTAATAAAATCGAAATAGTTTACGAGAACACTCACCTGTCGCTTTCTGAACTTTAGCGTACACTCCAATAGCAACTATTACTAAGGAAAATACCTGAAAAATAAAACCATACCCCATTGTCTTACACTTCTTTCTCTCGTTTCCATGACATGCACAACACTCATGAAAATAATGATTTTTTGCATGTGTAAGTTTCTATCTGTATGAGTGTTCGCATTCAATCTCTTTTTTGATACTACACTGTATGCATGGATTTTACAAGTAAAGATTAAACTTAGATGTTCGCCAGAAAGATTCAATGGTTGTATTGTAATGATGTTTTTCATTCAGACCATATGTGAAATATCATATATCACATCTGACACTTTTCATAGCAGGGGCCTGCCATGTAGTGTCACGCAGCTTCCCATTCTACAATGGAGGAATGCATCAATATTTCTTGAAACGTTCCACCATTACTTAGAGGTCACAGCAAGTCCAGGATCTTCACTTCCCACTGATAGGAAATTGGACAGATGCTTCATTTCTATTCATGGAGTTCCTCTATTTTTAGGAGCTGTGTGGTGTTCTGTTGCATTTCAGAAAGACTATAACTAACATGTGTTGCTGATGGAAGACATAAGAAAGAGCTAGAGCTGTTTCCCTTTTAAGAAAGGCAGCCTCTTTAAAATGTTCAGGTGGGTAGTTGCGTCAGCATGCGTAGGCTGCAAAGGAAATGTGACCTTATAGATATGTTGTGATATGTAGATAAATTGGATCTATGTGTTGTCCTAGTAAAAAAACACACTCTTTGCAGTACAACATGGTATATGCTGGTACTCCTCAATAACATGAAAAAGTGTAACTCTCACGATTGATCTCTTATTTATAATATCTTCTACTGTATTTTTTGTACCTCACAAGCATTTGAAGGTATTGAAAGGGATATAATAGCTGTTGTGAAGGATAGAGTAAATAACTGCAATCATCTCTACAGAAGAAGAGGGATTATATGCACTGATGTCCTGATGCTTAGTAAAACATTCACTGCCCTGTCCCAACTGATCGTGTCAGCCTAAAACCTCGACTGAGTCACCCAGGACAGAACAAAAGGCGAATGGAATTATGCTGAATGAACGAATTCACTGCCTGCTTGAAATGAACAAAACAGAAATGTTGCAGTCATATTCTGTTAAGAGAATCAATTTAGATAACATGGGTCATACAAAGTGCAGCTTAACCTTTTAGATATTTAAAGACATGTTTAAAGGACGATTGTAGTCTATAGAAGTACAGTATATGGGCAGAGCCCTGCGTATGAAAATAATCAGTACTGACAGAGATAATTCATCTGTGAGAAGATAGGCTCAAAAACAAACATCTCTGATAACGTAACCTTGTGCATTATTGAGGACGTGAGGCAGGTAGCCAAACTGAAATACTGAAATACTTTCAGTACTCAACTGAAATACTGAAGATAAAGTGTGCTGCAAAATATATAGTGCAAACTCAGCAATCCTACAGACTAGCACAGAGCTGTTAACAGCATATTTCACCACATATGTTTGACATACATTTGATGTGCAAATTACAGAATAAGGAAAGTGATTTTGATTCCAGCACGCCTTTCTTTTCAATGGTCTCATATTCCTTTTTCCCTGTGAAAGCTATCATGCTTTTGGAGAGTTCAGCTGATAGCTGAAAAGGACAGGAGGCTTTCAGTGTTTGGCTGGGGACTCTTACTAGCCAGCTTCTGTAACAATTGTTTTTTTCTGTAATACTTTTCACACATGAGAAACATTTATGAGGTTGTCTTATAACAATGTGATCTGCATTGTGTTTTAATGGTCTACAGCAGAGACTTCCAAATCTGGTCCTTGGAGTACTGAATCCGACAGGTTTTCCATGTCTCCCTAAACCATAAACAAAGCTTAACTTGAGAGAACAGTTCATTTGTTTCCATTAAAATTTAACTCTACAAGTTATCCTTAGTCCACAGCCTTCAGTTGTTGATAATTTTAAGTGGCAGAAAACCTGCTGGATTCCTGTTAGCTGCTGCTTTGTAGCTTCAGTTGATTTTTTGGGCACAGAAGAGGACACAGTATGCAACTGAACCCTTGTTGTTTTGATGGTTTCTTTTATGAGTCAGGTGACACTTTTAGATCAATGGGTGCCAAAATCGCTTTTTGTTAAGAAAGTGTATTTATAGAGGTTCGTATGTATGATACTACTAAATGCAATATGTATACTGGGATTCTGGGTAGTTTGTTTTTGAACCTCAAACGATTGTTTGATAGGACAGGACTAGAATCCAGTGTGATTATCAGATACAAAGTACATTAAAAAAACTGTGGTATAAAAAGCACATTTAAAGGCACTGATAATATGATATGCATAGAAAATAAATGTTATTCAATTGTCCCTTTGAGAATCCTTACATTTCCCACTTTGGTAGTAGGAATGGCAGTTTTCATGCTGAGTAACAAAGCAGTTTTAATTGAAGCAATTTTAAAACCTATTGATTGTGCTTTCTATAAAATCAATTAAAAGAGAAAGTGGCATGTGATAGTCAAGGATATAGCTAAACAACACATTTAAAATATCATTTTTTTCTAAACTGAATACAATACAACTACTTATGGCTTCACATGAAAAGCACACATATGATTACCAAAAAGACAAAGTTTCTTCCTGTATTATTTCACGTTTTAAAAAATGGGCATTTCACTTCCTTTATTTTTCTGATAGTTTTCTTCCTAAACATGATTAGCAAGCACACAAAGCTTTCAGATATAAGTTACACTTACCCAGAATAAAAAGCTGAAGAAAAAGAGGAAATACCTTATCCAAGGGTTGATGAAGGAAAACGTTTCAGCACGATTCAGACTGAGTTTCCCGTCCATTTCCTTGGAAGCTAAAGAAAAATAAGCAGTAATAATTAATTTAAACAAAATTACAGGCCTGTAAACAGTTTCAGCTAAAACTGCAGGGGGGTAGGAGCTGTTTCATCTGTGTGTCATGCAAGTATGCACCAGAACTATCTCACACGCACTGGCTCGAGTTACAGAGAAAATATCTCTGGCTTCATTGCAGCTGAATGGGTCTAGCAGCTCAACAGTATAATTTCCCTCACGCTGAAAACTCATTCTCAGTTAAGGTAATGAAGTTATCCTACACCATATGCAGGCTAAGTTTTTGGTCACATCATGAAGCAGTGGTGATCTGATTTTTTACCTTCTCAATTCATTTTCCGTGTTGGTAACCTCATATACCTGTGAGAAATTGCTTTAAAAAGTAATAGTTCACAAGCAGCTAAAGATGAATGTATAACATGACAGAAGTATTCATTAAGTATACAAATAACCTGTTGAGTCTTAATAAACACCTAAATTAATTATTAGTGGGTTTCATTTCCTACTTGATTAACAACTCTTGTTTAAAGTATTGTTAATCTATTTTAGGTTTTAATGAAGGATTGCTGTTTAACAATTACTGAAAATTTCACTCTCTGTCAATGTGAGCCAGCCATAACTATGCTAATGTGTTGACATGCTCTTAAGTGTCAGTTTTCATAATAGTACACTGATCATCAGGTGAAAAATGCTCAAAACACTGTTTCATGTACTAGTCAACAATGTAGCCTGCTTCTCTATTTCAGGCAACAATGTCTTAATTAGCTTGCTAAGAAAAATGATTACCCACGCAGCATTTTTTATAGTTAAAGGAATAAACCTGTCTCTGTACTGCTACTGTAAACGCACTGAGGACTTACGAGAAAATATATTGCTGAATTATATTAATGTGACAAGCAGCAACAATGGCCACAGCTATATGGCAGACTGTGATAAACCCTTTAGAAAATACGTTAAAAGTTACTTTAAAGAATTTGAAGCCCCAAATGTATTTTATACAGATTCTGACAGCCTGTAACTTAATTTGCTTGAAAATTGAGTTTAGTTGATTAGAAAAGCAAATGGCTACATAGTTCTTTAGTATTTAGTATTTGGCATTTATGGAATGTAGTTTTAAATTCCTTGTTTGAATTTATTGTTGATAGTTGCAGAGTCTATCACAGAAATGGGCTAGTAATTCAATCTGAGTATGTACAAAAATGCACTTTATTTGGAATAATATACTGTTTGTATGTTCAAGGGGAAATTGACGGACAAATGGAAGACAGTATAAATGGATTGATGTAATTTTTACAATCCTCTGAGTGTTCATGATGGGATACTAGCCTGTTCTAACAGTTAGGATGCAGCGACTTAAGAATGTGCTGGGCTACAGGTAATTGCTTTCCAGGAAGGGTAATAACTCATTGTAAAACAATGTTTGCTCTTGGTGAAGAAAGGAGTTAGAGGAAGATTTATAGAACAGTCAGTTCTGAATAAATAATAATCAGACAAAGTACAAAAGTACAAAACCTACCTTTAAGCATTTTTTATAAATCAGAACCAGAACTTTTACTTATTTTTCTTTTCCTATTATGTACTTCATCATTATTTTTAAGGGGATGAATAGACTTTAAATTTGGCCTTTCATTAAAAATGTGAATGACGTACTGTAGATACGTCTTTTTTTATTATAACTAAGAATACCAAGAAACAGTGTAACTCGACTCCAAGATGGAGGTCATCCCGCTGTTAACGTTTCTATTGTGTTTCTTCCATTTCTCAATGGAAGAGCAGTAGGAGTAAAGACCCAGCATTATTCGGATATAATAGATTAGAAATGCAATCCTGGTGTCATAACCATGTTTGTTTTACAATTGGGGTTGAAAATACTGTTACAGATGTTCTTAGGAGGCCTATATCAGGGGTCACCTAGGACCTAGAGGGTATAATGTCTTTTGGTTTCTCAATTAATTATTTAATTAGCTGCATGATTGTGATATATCTAGTCGGGCACTGAGATGATTTACAGAATATGAAACTGTATCTTTAATGAAGTGAATATTACACGTCATTAACTAAACTAGCTTTAAAAAAATCCTATATATGTCTAATTTAGATAATAATTTGGTTAATTGTTTAATTGGCCTTGATGGTTTTGTCACAAACAAGACACACATTAATCAAGGGAAGAATCTGTGGCCGTCTGCCAGGTGACCTCAAGGAAGAAAAGCCAGATACCTACAGCTGAACATCGACAGTGGTGATCCACTGGATGAGGAAGGATAACTAAAAAAATGTCCTGTATGTGAGCCAAATGGCCACCTGAATTAAAACAAGTGGTCTGTTGAATAGCTGCCAGGAGAAGCAGGAATGAGTGGTGTGCGGGCCAGCCAGATGACCATGAAGTCATGGTTTTAGCTGGCTGGATAACAGCAGGGAGTGTAGATGGATCACGAACAAAGCACATGGAGTGAAAGCCCTAGAAGGTCATTGTTTGATGCATAGATTTCCTTTGTCAGATGCTGTGAAGTTGATACTGTGTATACCACTTAATAGCATAAATTATTTAATACATGTTACACTTGTACTTTAATAAAACACACTATAATGATGTATTGCTAAATAATTATCTATTAGCATTACACATTGATTTGTTTTGAGGTGCTGTTCCACGTACAGTCTGTTGAAGTATGTTAAAAAGTGTTGCATTAATGTTTCATTGTATTGATGCAAGATTCGTGTTATTGGCACTAAATAGATGCTTTACTGAATTGATGTATTGATGTGGCACTGCATTCGTGATGTGCTACAGTATGTTTACAGTGATATTATTGTAAAATGATATTATACTGACAAGGTTGCTTGAAGTGGTTCTGATCTTGTCTTGACTTGATTGTTTTTATGACTGTGTTGTGATAAGTGCTAAAGAGACCTTGCATTGATTTTGCACTGCAAGACCTTTGATGAGGTGCTGTATTGCATTGATATTGTGCAGCGCTGACTCTGCATTATTTGGTACGGCTGATTTTATGTCATGCTGAGAGCTAGCAGGAACAATGCCAGGTAGAATGCCAGTTGTTGTTGATGCAGAGGTCAAACCAAGAGCATCAGAGTAGTAGCAATAGAAAGGCTGTGGTCAGTGGGAAGGTGTGTGAAGCTCCTGGACTACGAAGGCGTAAAGGTTCCAAACCAAAGAACTATACTGTAAATATACATTTCCAGCAACCTTATTTACTGTATCTCTTTCAGTAAATGCCCAGCCATCTACATTAGAGAAACAGGAAGGAGACTCGAAGACCGCTTCAGAGAACACGTCAGGGCTGTGAAGATTAAAGATCTCTCCAAGCCCATGGTTTCTCATTTCACCTCTGACAGCCATGACCACCCTAATCTCTCCGTCTGTGTTCTCAAAGACGGTTTTCAGAACTCATACATCAGAAAGACTACAGAAACCAAAATTATCCTGCAGCTAGGATTCCCCCTTCTCTTAACGACAGACTACTTTTCTTCTAAATTTTCTCCATTCATTGGAAGTTTCATTTCACACCTCTCTACACCTATTCTGTTTTCACACCTCTTGATCGGCCTCTCTTTCTGTCCCCTGCTCCCGCCTCTCACTCCTCCCCTCTCCCAGCCTTTGTTCTCCCACTACATTACCTTTGCTTACTGCCATGTCTTTCTCACACCTGAAGAAGGCTCCACAGCCGAAATGTTGTGTTTTCTTTCTTCTTTTTTTCAGCATGGAATAAACCTATTACTTGTTCCTATACTGTAAATATACTGTTGCAGCTGATTTGTTAATTACAGAAAACACGTGCCTAGAGGGAATGGGGCTCATGACACAGATGCGAGGACATGAGCAAACGTAGAGGTGAGAATATCTTACATACTAATACATCGCCAGGAAAGACAACAGAAAGAATGCTGCCTTACAGAGTCTGTTCTATAAGATAAAATCCTCTGCCAATTCTGCACTCCTGGCGTGTAGATATGAAGGCCAAGTTGCATACATCAAGCAGTGGGGGCTAACAAGCTAGGATCTTTGTCTGACAAAATGATTGATAAGTCATTTTATCCCACAAGGAGATGATATTTGGAATCTAGGGCTGAACGTTTGACAGACAGGATACCAGAGACAGAGGAGGTAACAGATGAGTGTTGAATCTATAGGATTTATAAGGCTGAAGCCACTGTGGGTACAATGCCTGAGAACACAAACTGAATTGGTACAGAAAAGGGAATGACAGAAATCCATTGTGCTTTGCTGTAAGACATAAAGCAAATATGAAAGGAAAAAACAGGTCTGGGAAAGGGGGAGAAGTCTTAACCTGGAATGTAAAGGTTTAAAATCTCATCCGGAGGATGACATCTCCTACAGTCATATGTTTTGACCCACAAGAGCAAAGCTGACTGGTCCCTGTCAAGACTTTAAAGTCAGAGCCACAGATGTATAGTCAAATTCAATATTTTGACTTTCATTATTTTGGTTTTAAACTCAGTGATCCTGAAATGAGGAGGACCTTGGGGAGCTGGTCCCTGCTACAAATCAGGTTGAGAAACTTTATCCTACAGTACACTATTCCTGATCACTATACTGGGGGGCTAGAAATTCTGATCCAGAGGGAAGAGTGCCACCTACTGGTTCACCAGCACCAACCCAGTTTTCCTGGGTGGTCTCTGATCCCGGTCCTCATCAGATCCAGCCTTTCTTCACTCCCGAGACTGAAGATCCAGCTACAAGGCGGCAACTTTGCTGTGAAAAGACAAAGACAGGAAGATCCTTCTTGTCTCTCTCCTCCATGGAGAAGTGGAAAGAAAATAGGAAAAAAAAATTAAAGGGTGGCACGGCGGCACAGTGATTAGTATTGCTGCCTCGCAGCTCTGGGACCCTGGGTTTAACCCTGGGGCGCTATCTCTGTGGAGTTTGTATGTTCTCCCCATGTTCTCATGGGATTTACCGGGTGGTCTAGTTTCCTCTCACAGTCCAAAGACATACTGGAATATAAACCCTGGTATGAGTCTGGTATGAAGCTGGTATGGTTTGTGTCTGTGTATGCCCTGCGGTGGACTGCTGTCCAGGAAGCACCCTGCCTTGTGCTTTGTGCTCGCTGTGATAGCATGAATACAAAGCAAGTTCTGAAGTTTGTTGCACTCCTGTCATCTTGATGACAACCATTTCCAGTCTGTTTTGAAGTTCC